TTTGAGCTACGCGAGCAGGTGATCAACGAGAATCATGCGGAACCCACGGCTGGACATCTCGGCGTTTTTAAAACATACGTTTGGAATATTATTGCCTTGCGCTACTTTTTGGCCTGGTATGCACCAGGACGTGGTGAAGTTCGTTGCCTCCTGCGAGAAGTGCTTGTCTTACAAGGCTCAAAATCACCAAACCTTGGGAGCAATGGGCCGCCCGAAGCAGTGTTCTAGGCCATTTCAAATGATTTCAATTGATTTGATGGGCCCCTTGCCTGTCACTAGGAAGCAGAACACTTATATCTTCGTAGTCACATGCTGCTTCTCGAAATATTTCCGAATTTTCCCATTAAGAAGTGCTACTGCCACTACAGTCACGAAGTTACTGGAAGAGTCTGTTTTCCTCGTCCATGGTGTCCCTCAGACCATATTTTTGGACAATGGCGGCCAGTTTATTTCGAAGGTCACTGAGTCACTTTTCCATCGTTATAAGGTCCCTAACGTGTTCTTCACGCCAAAGTACACCCCTCAAATTAATTTGGTAGAACGACATAATCGTTCAATTATCACGTGTATCTCAACTTTCGTGGACAACGATCATCGCAGTTGGGATACATATATTCCGAAGGTTCAGTTCGCCCTCAACAATTCGGTGAGTGAGGCGACTGGTTTCACTCCATCCTTCCTGGTGTTCGGCAGGGAGCTCGTTACATGTGGCTCGCATTATTTAGATAACGATTTAGGCGATGAGGTTTTATTCCTTCCCCGTGACATCTACGCGGAGGATTTGGGTTGTCTTAAGGAAGTTTTCGATACTGTAAGGGCCAAATTGTGGCATGCTCATGCTAAAAACTGTACCCACTATAACCTTCGGCGCAAGCCTATGGAATTTAACATTGGTGACACTGTAATGAAACGCGCATATGTTTTAAGTGATAAGGATAAGTTCTTTAGTAAAAAACTTGCGCCAAAATTTATTAAATGTCGCGTCATCGGTAAAAAGTCACCCCTAGTTTACATCCTGGCTGACATGTCTGGGAAAGATATTGGCACCTGGCACATCAAGGATTTGAAATTAACAGGACACAATACTTAGTCATATATGTATACACTTTTTTTAAAGTGGCACTTCCCCGTGTGGTGTCGAGTTAGAATAGCACCACCCCATTTCTTCCTGTGGGTGTCGTAAAAGTCGACTAAGGGATAGGGTAGTAGTGTGTTGTGGGAGATGGGCTAGCAACCATCACTGCAATATCACAAGATCTCCATGTTACACCTACAAGTACACTTAATTAAGTTGCATGTGTTCTGCTTGTTACTTAGGAATACACTAGCGTTATATTTATATATATACATGGTGCTCGTTTTACCCTGGTCACACTTTTACATCTTTAGCTCTAGGTATTCGTATGGGTCTTCCAGTCTAACCGATGCTGGAACACCTTGCCAAATGACAGGATGCGTCAACTACCCTATTGATGTTCGTTGACGCTGATATAATCGCGTGAGGTATGAGAGATGTTGTATAAAAGGATAATGCGAATACATAACAATTTAGAGCGGATTTTATTAATTAAGAATAATAAAATCCTTATGTAGCGCGCGGGGTACTGTAACGTTGCACGTACATGTATGCATAATTATAATTAAACGGTTTATTAAAATTAAATAAACATTTAATAAACTAAATAAAAATAAAATAAAAGTTATTAACAAAAATAATTCTATAATTAACTTAGGTATCCTATTAATAAAACAAATCAGTAAACTAAAAGAACGAATTAAATAATAAATCAAATATTAAAATATTGTATTTCGAACAAACACTCTGACGCTTCGTTACTCTATGCGCTTTGCAACTCTCGCGTCAGAGTTTTACCCGGCCGGTATCATTCCACGGCGTCGCGCTCCCGGTCATTCTCCGCCCGAGCGCCCTGGGAGGCGCACACTACCACTGCAGCCGCGTTCACAAGCTCTGCTTTGTGTCCTCGTACGCGCTTGCAAATTTTAATCCCATTTTGGAAAAAGTTTAAAATAATATAATAATTCCGGCACTGTGGCCGTATAGTTTTTTCGTTAATTCTCGTCACCGAGACCTCCGTATCGTCTTGCACCCCGTAAGGGTAAGTGTTGAAACGTTACCTAGTTTTAAGTAGTGAAAGTGTTTTATAGGTAGTGTAATTTGATCATGCCAGGCTGTTTGCTTTTAGCTATTTAATTGCCACGTTATTAGTGTTATTTGCATGTAAGTGATGTATGTAGCCGCTGTGTGCGTTGGCAAAAGTACCGTTACAAAATGGCGTCTCATACATTTCGCACCGCGATCAAATATCGCAAGTCACCATCATGTTTCAACCAATGCACAGCCTAAATTAGTTATCCTGGTACATTTAAACAGTATTTTACACTTGCCGAAATTTTAATTCATGTGTATTTTAATTTGCGCCTCACCGCTATGACGCTTGCCTTCCATTCCGCCTTGTAACTCCGTTCTGATTATGAACACCCGCCAGCTACTCTCTGTGCTCCCATCTACTGCTAGCCTGCGATATACCGGGGGTTCATAATCGGCGGCATTTTATTACCTGGACCTAAATGTGGACGACGTTGTTTCCAGGGTGCAATTTTACGACTACAACCGTGGCGGTCGTCCTTCTTAAGAGGGCCTAGGCCTCCCCTCGACGCCGCCACCGCCACAGCCAGCCGCCCACGGCGCTCCCCGTGAACAGTCCAACCCCCCGGCCCTGCTCGACCACCTCGCGGCCACATAGGGGAGTACCTGACCCTGCCAGTGAAGCCAGACGGGCATTTTTTTTTAAATTATCGGAACCACGCCCACGACCTTTTCTTTTACCAATATATAATTTTTTTTATGACTGGTTGTTGCCTTATTTTAAATACCACCCACCACACCCAAAACAATCTCGGTATACGACCGCCCAATCCCTTTGGAAAAATCGGCCAAATATCTAGGCGTCACTTTCGACTCCCGCATGAGTTTCAAGACGCACATAAGTGTAGTACGCAACAGAGCCAAGTCAATAATTGGCCGTCTACACCCTCTCGTTAACAGCAAGAGTAAACTGTCCCTAAGACACAAACTCCGACTGTACAAAACCTGCATTCGACCAGTTATGTCCTATGCAAGTGTAGCTTTCGCCCATACATATAAGACCCATATTTTAAAACTCCAAAGAGTACAAAACTTTTTCATCCGGAAAGCCACCGGCGCACGGTGTTATCAACGGAACTCTGACTTACACAATGATTGTGAACTACCATCTATCTCCGAGTATTTTAAGGAGATGTCCTAACGCTACTTTGATAGTGTAGAAACCCACCCTAACCCGCTCGTGACAAACGCAGCTAACTACGTTCCGATAGCAAACGTCGCGTCCTATCTCCGTAGACCGCGAAATGTTTTAATAGAACCACCAATATCGCTCGATCCAGTCGACCCAAGCGTCGCAGGCACATCACACAACGACACTACACCCACACTAAATGGGACAAACATTAATAGGACAACGAATGGGACGCGTCGCACCCGCAGACGGGCACGACGCGTTCCAGCTCACACCGCGTACACACCGTACACCCGCGTTCCTGGACGGTTCTCACCGCCCAGAACATCGACCGACACGAGCTGAGCAGTCAGAGACGGGGGTCCGCGCACCCCCCCTCGGACTGCGGTTAGATAGCTCAAAGAAAAAACGCCTAAAAGGCGACATGATGATTGATAACAATATCAAATCATAAATCATTCATCATCATTTTCACCTCATTGCCTTTCCCTTTTTAATTAGCTCGCGGCCTTGCTGTTGTGACAAGATGAAGCTGTGAGAGTCGTATAGACTAACAGCATTAACATCAAGATAATAGATAGATAGACTTCCTTACAGAAGTCCAAAGAACACGTCTAGGCAAGGTAAGTAATTAGAAGAAAACTACAATTTAGAGATCGATTGTAAATCAAATTCACAGTACAGACACAATTAGCGAAATATGAATAAAATTTTTATTTATTTTATGATAGATAACGCTAGTTGAAAACTAAACACTGTATGGGAATGGCATCACTGAACGAGTCAGGTGATCAGTCCAAACAAATAAAAGGCGCGATTGTAGAAAGAAATTCGTTACTTGGTCGGGGCTTGGCCTGTTTATGCTATTCATAACGAAGGCTATAAATATGTAGGTATAACTTAGAAACTAAATCCTATGTGTACTTATCTGTATTCATAACCCAATATCTAAGGTAGGTTATTCTGTAATAAAAGTAAAGTAAAGTTACAGCCTATATACGTCCCACTGCTGGGCTCAGGCCTCCCCTCATTTCTGATAAGGTTTAGGGCAAGGAAGTGTCCGCCGCGCTGCCCAAATGCGTGTTGACGAACTTCACATGTCTTCGAAATATTTTTTTCTTATTCCTCAGACATGCAGGTTTCCTCACGATGTTTTCCTTCACCGCCGGGCACGTGGTAAATCAGCACTTAAATTTGCAATTAACAATTTCATTGGTGCCGGCGGGGATCGAACCCGGGTTACTCGCGTTCTGTTATATTTACAGCGAGCGTTAACCACTGAGGTACCACGGCTCTGTAATAAATTAAATCTAATCCAAAATATAGGTACTATAATACCATAGCAAAGCTACTACTATTTTTTTAGTAGTAGCTTATATAGTAGTATAGTAAATTATATATAAAAAATATGAGTATGTCTGAGGTAAGGTTAAATATAAACAAATATTTTGCCAAGTGCGAATCGGACTTCCGAGCTTCCGAGATTACAAGATTTAAATACCTATACATATTACTATCGATCAAAAAAGCCAAAAACGATGAGAAGTTGGCTGAATATGACATCAATGGAAGGTGGTTCATTTGGTGCAACACCTCCCACCGGGCCTAGTACAGTCCAGGAGAAACGCGACGTCGTCTCATACTACTGCTGCCGCCGGCAACGAACAATCTAACGGAACCCAACAACAAATCAGAAGACTAATGGCACTCACACCCCCATCTCGAATATTGGGCGATGAGCAGCAGTCTATGAACCTATCACCGACCACTAGCCTGGAGTTCATCCGACGTCTGATCGCGGACATCAGGACATCAATCGCCCAACTCCGCCCTGATATCGAGGAAGTGGAGAATCCTGGCGCGCCATCTAGCGGTAACACGCAATCCGAATCAGTGGACCATGAGAACGGCAATGGCGCGCATCAGGAAGAGGACGAACCTCAACAGGATGAGAATGGCGACGAAATTCCCGAGGGGTTAGAACAAAGCGCACAGCATGCCCGAGGCAAGGCAATGAGAGCACTCCGGGCCCGCCAATCGCGCCCCCGCGATCTTGATCGAGGAGTTGGAACTGTTACACATTCAGTTCACTCCGCACAGGGTGACGTTCATCAATATGCTGCATGCCGCCAATCGAGCCGATCCTCCTGACTACACGGATGAGGAACGACAGAACCATTAGCGCACGATTGATATGACTTCGCCCATGCTTATCACGCTATAAGCGAGCGTAGTAAGCGTGGGCGAAGCTGCGCACAATGTCGGAAGTCATGTCAATCGTGCGTTGATGGTTCTGTCGTTCCTCATCCGTGTAGTCAGGAGGATCGGCTCGATTGGCGGCATGCAGCATATTGATGAACGTCACCCAGTGCGGAGTGAACTGCATGTGTAACAGTTCCAACTCCTCGAGCCACGGCGCCCCTGCTTCCTCAGTTCCCAGCGGCCTCCTGTGTTCGGGCTCGTGACGTCCCCCCTGCCCCCTCGTCGCGCCTTTTCTTCTTGCAGCTTCCTCTGCTCCCTGCGGCCTCATGCTCATGGTCCCCTGGGATCTACCCTGGTGTGGTTGGCGGATCCCAGGGGTGAAGGTTTGGAGATGAATGAGACTACTATATAGTATTTATAGTATATTCTCAAACAACACCGGATGCCTGGGTCCTTGGAAAGACAATACGATCCAACAACTCACGGCCTTTAAGCAAATAAAGTTAGTCAAACCATATCGGGATACAATTATTATGCAACGCCATCTGCCATCTGTGATGCTAACTGTCGCAACATAATGACAGCACAACGTCATCTGTTTATCTATGACTAAATTACGTTGCACACCATCTGTTTATTGATGTCTAAATTACGCTGAACACAGGCAATGCAACGTTAGAAAGATTTCTTACACCAATACTACCAAATTTTATAGGTGAAGTAATTTGATTCCAGGCTGTTCTATTTAAAGTCAAATTTAGAATTTTTACTAAAGCTATTTTAAGAAAAAATTCTAAATGTTTTTAATCATATTGATAAAATATTTTCAATATCTTTAAAAATATCCGAACATTTCCAGACCGAACTTGAGCGTAATAAGTATGTAAATTAAGGTACAAGAAGCTAATATTTTAAAATAGTAAGTGAAATGTAGGGGTTTAAGATATACAATTTATCAACGTAGTTTAAAAATTGATCAAATTTTATTTTTAAAACAGGTTTAATACTATAAAAAAAGAAATTTTGAATTAAAGTATCTCTGCTAGAACTAGATAAATTATTGTAAATAAATATTTCACATTTATTGCTATTCGGTTCAAGAACAATATTTAAAAAAAATTAAAAATACGAGTAAGATTACTGAAGGCGTCATCTGCTTTACCTCTCAGTGTACCATCGTCCAGGTACCAGACATTCAGCATTGATTTCAAGTTTGAAATAATAGGTTGAATTCTCAAACTGAAATGAACCGGACCTAGTGGGTCACCCTGCTGAACACCGACAGCAGAATCAATAACATGGTTTTCATAAAACAAGCTCGAATTTTAACTGTAACATTGCCAAACGTAACGATAAATTTCGGGAGTATTGTTAGCCACTTCTTTCAGCAGAGTTACCATATCGATAAGTTTATCTAACGCAAGAATTTCTAACGTCAACTTTCAGAAAAAAATCTGCATTAGAATTTGTTCAAAAAGTACGCACTGAATGTACCGCCGCCTCACAGCCACCTTTAGTGCCAAAGCCTAGTTGAGTAGGCAACCTAATTTTTAAGTTAAGCGTCGAAATGTGGAACCAACAACAATAAGAAGTATTCTGTTATCCTTTTTTTTTTGAAAGCACACAATCTTGCCCCATTATAGTAGGAAATGAAATTGGGATTGACATTACCAGAAAGCATGAAATTACATAAATTTGTAATGTGTTTAAGAAGTACTCTATCGGCGTCACCGGCATACATGCTTACAAGATCTTTGAGATGTTGAGGCGTAATTCTGTCAATGCCACGGGCAGTCAGAAATAGGTAAGACTATGGTTTCTACCCATAAGTAAAACTATGTCGAAAAGAAGTCCTACCCATTAGACCCTTTTTACTGGAAACGAGGCGTTCCATCTTAGTACTCATGGGTGACAACTTATCTGCATTTTGATTTGTAATCGAGGATAGATGTAGATGTCTATGGGCCGCAGCAACCACTTACCATCAGGTGGACTGTGTGCTAGTTTGTTACCCAATCCTATAAAAAATCACCTAGTAAAGTAATTCAGTAACTCTTTTAAAATCTAACGTTGGAATTCAGGTATATATGATATACGATAAAAGATATATAAACGAGCACACAGTCCACCTGATACTAAGTGGATGCTGTGGCCCATAGACATCAACATCTATCTGTCCAACCATTTCGGAGATAGTCCGGAACAAACAAACAGACATACAAACAGAAAAAAAATGTTTATTGCAAGTATATAAGTACCTTATATACTTTCATATACATTTAATAAAAAGCAACAAACAGACACTTCAATTTCATTTATTTATATGGATATAGAATAAAGCGCCGGCTTCAGAATACGGAATTATTTTATTCTTTTAGTTCTTTGAAATCATATTTTAATTTATATTAAAGGTTATCTTTTCTCGTTTTAAGGGAACCAAGATATTTCACAAACTCAATGTCGTCTAGAAAGTTACACTTAAAACTTTATTTCCTACTAGCATGCTAGGCAGGCGTTGTTCTGCCCTTTTCGACAACCGTTTGTCATGTCCTATTAAAAATCCTTAAATTCGCAAAAAAAAATATTTTGAGTCACTCATGGGCAAAAAAAACTATCTTATCTAAGTGGGACCAAACTGCACACGGTGTGCAAATTTGATTAAAATCGGTAAAGTAGTTTAGGAGTCCATCGGGGACAAACAACTTGACACGTAATTTATATATATTAAGATTTTGCATTTGGGGTGGAATTTTTTCTGCAAATTTATATTATACCACTCCCGAGTTATAACCAATTGATATTAAACAATAATTATCATCATCATTACACCCCTTCACAAGTCCACTGCTGAACATAGGTCTCCCCCAGGGAATGCCACAAAGCACGGTCCTGAGCCACCTGCATACATCGACTTCCTGCATGTTTTACCAGGTCGTCACTCCATCTAGTGGCGGCCCTACACTTCGCCTACTAGACGCTGTCACTCAAGAACATTATTTCCCCATCGGTTGTCAGTTCTTCGAACCATTGCCACTTCGGATTGTAAATCTGTTGGGCTATGTCAATCACTCTGTTTCTACTGCGGATATCCTCATTTCTAAGTTTATCACGCAGAGAAACAGTTTACATAGCTCATTAAGTGATCTTGAGCTTCCTGGCTATGGTAACCAATGATAATATTCATTAAAATTGGTGCTCAGCCGATGGAGAATTTATTTTGAGTTGGCTATCAGGTAACAGAAATACAGCAACATCTTCTCGATAACAATTTGAAATAATTAAAAAAAAAAACGGCCAAGTGCGCGTTGCGTCACGGACAGAATATTGGTAGGGTTCCGTAGTTGCTTGTCACAATACGTGAACTTAGAAAAGCGCCATCTTGATAGCATGAGCGTATTAACACTTTCATTGTCCGGTTTTTTGGTACAATAATAAGACAATAGCGATGGCGTATGTGTTGTGAACGGAATAGCGAAAGGGTTAAGTTAGTCCACGGTTTGACCGCTGTAACGATTAAAAATAGGCCCAAATAGGACGACGGTAGCTTAAGGACTTATTTTCGGCGCATACTTATAGGGACTGAAATTCAAAAAAGATTAAAAAATGTTTCCCTTTTGAAAATGATACAATGTACATTAAATAGTTCACATGTCAACTCCGTAAAAAATATGATCATTTTTGTTTCCTATCGAACGTAACAAGCCTTCGCGTAAACCACCACAGCGCTAAACTACCCTGAGGATCGTCCACTTAAACCGAGAGTATCACCAATGACACTGTGTGACTACAATAATTACTAACTACAAAATAAGAGAAAGTTATATGTCAGGATCGATCTTTTGGCGATTGATCAATTTTGCCTATCCCGCAAAAGAAAACTTAAAGCTATAGTAGATATCCTCGAAGAGTAGAACTAGGTGTGCCGAGTTTGATTTCGTTTTGTTAGTTATGATGAGATCTTACCTCCGGACTTGATAGAGTGACCTGAAAGTGTACTTTGGTGAATACTAGATTAAAATATTACTTCTGACTAGATGAAAAACTTTTTGAAAACGAAATAAAGTTGATGAGAAAAAATTATTGACGAGTCAGGTAAAAAATGCTATTTTATCAGCATAAGTCATAGAACATGTTTGTTGGTAGGTTGGAAAAAACTGGGGCGTAACACTTCTTTTTTTTTTTGGGGGTAACTGGATCGTTTGTGTTGAGAGGAAATTAAGTTTTTTTTTTTGAAAACTGTAGAACTTTGCTGTTACGCTCATAAAATGTTTATTTATTACAGTGTAAAATAACATTGCAAAGTTATAATAACGTTATAAAATAATATTCCAATAACTCGTTAACTTACCAAGCCTACTTAGCCGTGATAATTTTCCTTTTAACTACATAGGTTGGGTTTATTAACTATATAGGTAGGTTATTTTCCTTTCAACTATGTAGGTAGGTTTACTACTATCGTGCACACTTCACATATCCTATAATTATAATTTTAACAAAAATTAAAAGCTGACTTGGAATTGCTAGAAAAGATATTATTTATTTGCAACCTTTATGGTTGTAATTTCTTCTCCATATTTATATACCACCACCCATGAAATCATTAAAATCGGTTCTTTATCTCTTTTTTATAGAATAGGGTGACAAACGAGCACACAGTCCACCTGATGGTAAGTGATTGCTGCGGCCCACAGACATCTGCATCTATCCTCGATTACGAATCAATGTGATGCGTTGTCACTTGTCACCCGTGAGGACTAAGATGGAATGCCTCGTTTCCAGTAAAAAGGGTCCCCGGTTCCCTACAAAATGAAACACAGCAGCATTAGGCTACTATTTTACGCTGGTATTTATTCTGTGAGAACGTGGTTCTTCTCCGGTCGAGCTGATCCATTCGTGCTACAACTATACTACCTCGTTGGTCTAGTTGTTGTAGTAGTGCGACTGCTGAT